CATAATTGGCCACAGGTTACCGATTTGATCATTTTGTTTTAAGGAAATCTGATGAAACTTAGTAGAGATTTGTATAGACCGATTTGTGAATTTTTAATTGTTTATATCAAATTTTTTTAGTGCATAGAGTAGATAATGTTGTAATTATGAAGAAAAATGTTTATCTTGCTTCTGTTTCTGAAAGTAGCTTAATTCAAAAATAGTTGAAACAATTATTGATTTCTTTCAAAATAATAAACACTGCTCGAGAAAAGTTTTTAATGTTACAAAAAATTTAGTTAATTTTTTTCTGCTGGTACTGTGTAGGCATTTTCTTCTACAACGTCATCAGCAAAAAAAAAGTATTTAAAAAACAACGCTTTTTTATTAACTACTTGAAACTAGCATTTTATTATACCAAGGCTTAATGGGCTATAAAACATCATAACTAAAATTTTTCGAAAAATTAAATAAAAAAAATCTATTTAGGTGATCTTTCCTTTATATGCTGCAAATTTTCTTAACAAAATCATTTAATATCGGTGGCCTTGAAGCGATTATTAAGAGTATATTTGAATAAAGACCACGCAACACGTATTCTCCACTTCCAGTCAAATTTGGTTCATATCTCATATACATATATTTATATGTACATACTGTCAATCAATAAAGTTAAGGTGCAGAGGGGTTTTTGCAAGACGGGCAAATATTTTTTATACATTTTTTTTTCGCAAATTGTTTATAAAAACTAGGTTAATTCTACAATAAAAAACCCAGGAATCGGAGTTCCAAACCTTGTGCAAAATTAAAAAAAAAAACTCAAAACTTTCATTTAAATAATGCATTTTTTAATTACATTATTTAGAAAAAATGAGTCCAATCAATTTTAGTACAATACCTGAGATACCTGAGGTAGCTAGGAAATACAATTGATTTTTGGCAGATTTTTTTGTTGAGCGTGTCGCCCATTTTCTCCATATGGGCGAATCTGACGAATAGTCAATCAAAATCGCAAAAAATTCATGCAATTCGAGTTCTCTCATTTTTGTGTAATCAAAGTCATAGTACAACATATTCTTATTTCATATTTCTTTTCACATTTATTTGAGAAATCTGATTTGCCCCTCCTACTTCTTAAAAGAAAGTACTAAACAGCATTGGTTTTAAACACTATATCTCTTAATAAAATACAACAATAACGCTTTAACAATAGCAATTTTTTCAAAGAGTAACTTCGGTAACGTAACGTCACGAACACACATATACAATTGTTTTAAAGTTAGTCCAACCTTTAGTTTGTTTTTATATCACATCTTGTAAACTTCACTGTTTTCCCTTTAAAGTATTTTTGTAGATGGTGGTCTTCATGCCTGATAATTTGCGAAAGTCGGTTGACTTTGATGGTCATATCAAAATCGCTTCCTTTTTTAGTAACGTCCGAACATAAATTTCTAAGGCAAATGCACCGACGTTAACTCAAATACAAATTTCCATTATTTTGTTCTCATAAGTATTGCTTGCCTTATACCACAAAAAATTGTTAACTTATAAAAGAATCGTCCGAACGTAACATCCGCAATGCTAGGATTTGCTCAAATAAAAAAATTATCGTACATCATTTTCTTCTTTAGGCAAACAAGCCAAATCATACTAAAATCTATTCGTTTCAGCCAACGAAAAAGTATCTCGCCATCGCCGCTGAACTAAATGTCT